CAATCTCTCCACGTGCCTCGTCGGCAATAGAGTCGAAAAGTTATTTCTCTCTCGTTTCCAGGTTAGGTCACCGGGGAGGTTTCCCTCTTTCCAGGTTTAAGGCGCCTCCACGGCAACTTCGGTGATTTTTCTCGAAACATTTCCTGCCCCGCCGAGGCCGTTTTCCCCCGATTCTTTGTACTTTGCCTTCCCTCAAAACATTTGCATCTAGCCGCACAAAGAACGGCTACCTAGAGGGACGCTTTTGTGCTCCGGCCGAGCACAGAAATGACGATGCCTTTCCATGAGACTCGTTATTTCTCCTCCATGGGTTCCCCATCTTTGCGCATTGCGATCGTCGTGCTTTAGCTATTTATGAATGCGCCCGTAGGTCCACCAACTGACCCTCGTTTTACCGCATCCTCGACTACAATGCGGTGCAGACCGCAGGATTCAACCTATCCTTAACAAATTCCTCCGCAGTAGGAAAATCGAAATGCTCAAAGTCGGCAAGAAAGAGCTAATTACTTCGCACGTACACAGCAGCGGGATTACTTGGCGGCCGCGAAGAAAAATCAGAAAATGTCTGAAAATGTTTTTCGCGCAGTTTTCGAAGCGAAGGGACGAGTGCGCGGAAAAAAAAAAAAATGTGCGGAGTTAGCGCAATTTCGTATCCCGCATTGCGATTGCCGCACATTTATGAAATTGCCGTCCTACGATGGCTCCGTCGTTCCGATAACCTATGACGAGGGCGATCCTTTTCTTGGCACCTTCTTTACTTTTCGCCATTACGAGTCCCATATCCGTGACACGATTTGGCCTGCTTAAGAGACGCATTCATAATCGCATTTCAGCCGAGACTGCCTTAAGTTGACCCTGCCCTTGATTCTAATAATAAAAACGCCAAATTCCCGAAACCGTCCCGAAGGATGATCAAATTTACGCGGCGTTATGAAAAAAAAAAAAAAAGAAAGAAAAATTATTATCCGAGGAGGGGAACGTTAAAATACGTTCATAAAGGATGTCTTACATTTAATCGTATTCATGAAATTCGCATTAGCTAGATACCGCTTTTCGCACATTTACTCGGGCCTTGATCATGCTTCTCAGGTTTCTAGGCGATTACAAGCGAAGAGGACGAGATTGGAGGTTAAGTCCCGGCTTAGCCGCGAGGCGAAGGAAATTTCTTTCATCGGTTAGAAAAATCTTCCTTAGGTCGAATAAAATTTTGTGGTCCAGTCGAGGGGTCCAACCAGAGTTCCAATTTGGAGAAAACTCAGTCCAGACTGGTACAAGCGGAATCCTCCGACAAAACGAACACCCCAACTTCGACGCTCGGTGGACTCGGCAAAGAGAAATGAGGGTCGGGTCTCCGGACTTCCCTTTATGTTTCCGAAAAAAATGTCCATTCCCTGCGAATCCTTCGAATCGTCATCCCCCGGGTCCCCGAGAAAAATGGAGGTCAGTTCGGCAATGCCTAGTCGTTTCCTAGACGGCACCACCCTCGCGCCCTAACCCCAAAACACCGTCCAACCGTAAGGAAAAAAATGGCGACTGCTAAGGTGGAGGAGAGCTCGTTTCAAAGATATGGATCCAAGCGTGAGATTCCACATCGAGGAAACGCGATCGCCTGAAAAATGCTCTCGACCTAAAAATCCCTTAGATTTTTATTTTCTTACCCTCCAGCGGACGTAACTGCCGTATTCCCCCGTCTTTCATAATTGCTCCCAGCTGTGCATACAATTTAAGGGAGATAAAAAATTTACGTTGCCTGCACAAGAGAAAGTTACCCCCTTAAAATATATTTGACCCAACTTCGGACGGAAAGACTGACGGAAGTTGAGCAAGGAATTCATTAACGTTTGACTCCGTGCTAATTGCTATACCGTTGGTACTACGTTAACTTGTACGTCCTCGAGTAAATGAGAATGTTCAGGTGCGATTCCGAAATTACTGCCTCATGTCGTGATCGTCACGATGTTCGGAGAACGTTTAAAGTCCTCCACGCATCGAACACCTCGGGGAAACCCTCGAAAAAAAAATCAAAAAAGGGCGTAAGATGAACGTACTCAAACCGTTTAAATGTTGAACCGATTAATCCGGTGTACATTAATGGCGAAAGCTCCCAGGTCGCCGGTAAGACGGATCGGCAAACTTACGCGAGGGTAATTGCGGCCCATCGCGCTCAAAGTGTCCGTCATTCCAAGTACGCGACCTCGATCGAGTCGCGACATTTCGCGCAAAGCATCCCGGGCCACTATACACTCGAGAAATAACGAGGGCGTAATTAATTAGAAGGAGGGGAGCGATCGGGAAGGGAAAAGAGGCTGCAAAAAGTAGCAAAGACCGGAGGGCACGCTTTTAGCCCAGTGACCGCAATGTCGGGGCGACGCAAGCAAGACTCGAGCCTCTTTTACACGGACCGACGCGAGCCCGATCTTTTTCCGGAAGCAAGCATTTAGGTAGCTTCCCCTGCGGAATAAAAAGGCCGTTTAAACTCGGCTCAACATCCGACACCGAGAGCCATTACTTCGAGACGTCGCTTACCCTCCATGACGAATCATCCTCCCGAAGGTGGACGCGCCATGGGCGGCCATTTTTTCTAGATTACCGAGGAAGAGACATTTCCATACGCCGGAAGAGCAGCGAACCCAGGAAGAACCACGACCAAGGACGTTCTCCTCCAAGAAACGTGACGAAGCGTCAAGAGATCATCCCCTACCTAGACCAGGAGGAACGCATCCCGCCATTCCTCGAGTATTAGCAATGTACGTGCCAGACCTGCCCTACGTACGTGGATACGTATTTCCGGAGATGCGTGAGATTCCGCGATGGGAGTCTCGCGATGCAGTCACATGCCACCCGGTCGGCAAGTGTAGGTGGAGGCGCGTCTACGTGCAACCACGCCGGCGCATACGTACGGTACTTAAAGTCCACCGCATAATTTACATTACCACTTGCGAGATGCCCCTTTTACCCTATTTTTAGACGGTCCTGCGCATCCGTTCTAGGGGTGCCACCTTCGAGGGAGGTCGCGGGACAACCTAGGCATATGCGAAACCGCCCACGTTTATCTCGGGCCTATTTTTAATTAAAGCCCTGCCGTCGAAGACGTTTTTGCTCATTCCCGAGAGGTCAACGGTGCGAATTTACGGCGCGGACGAGTCGTCGGCTGACCTGGGTATTTTCAAAATCACTTTGACCCCGAATCAATTATTAATTACCGCTTCGCCGTCAAAGAGTGAAACGAGGTCGCGCGATACGACTAGTGAAATTTCTAGGGAAAAATCTAGCGTTTCGGATAATTTGTCTAATTTTTCGGAGACTCGATGATGCCGATCAACGATTAGGGTCGAGATTACGAATCGAGCTTCGAGCGATTCCCTGCACCGGCGTTCGGAAATAGTGCAAGACGAAGATATCGGTAGGTCCATTGGGTGGAAAGCCAGCCACGAGCCCGTTCGGGATCCGTTCATCTTCGGCGAGTGTTGTCGGGTTATTTGTGGCGACGCGATATCCAAGAGTAGGTACGCCCAATTCTCGTCGGACAAACGTCAAGCGCGAGCCAATAAAGCGCCATATTGCACTATCTTTGTGACCGGAGACGCGAAACGCGCCGACAAATCGGGACCGAAATATCCCCCGGTCCGTACATTGTTCCTAAACGAGGGGGCATTCCGCTCAGGAAATCGTGAATTACAATCAGCTCTTAAACGGCTGTAAATCCCAAGCAGAGATCACCGAGACACCGTCGCACTTTTAAGCCAGAATGGCAATGCTCATCGTATGAAAAATCAAAGGCGATCGATTCTCAAAGAAGGAAATAATTTTCAGGGATTCTCCAAGTGATTTGTAAAAAAGCTCGTAGCTTAAATGCCAGTCGGAAGTTCATAAAGCAACCCAGGTCGCGATCCCTGCTCCTACCGTGCACAAAGTGGCGAGGATACACCGAGCTCTCGGGTCGCGGTGGTGATTGTCAGCTGTCCGGCCGCGAGAACGGCACGAAAATATCATTGACATAGATTCTAGGGTAGTAAAAATAAATGCAAGATAAAGCCGCGGCGGGTGGCCGAGAGGATCCCCAAGAGGGAGGCTTCCCTCAGCCTCCTCAGGCTTTCTCCGGCTTTCTTCAGCTTTCTTTGGGTCGACTCACTCCAAGCGAAGACGAGGAGCTCCGCTCGTGCATACGTTTAACGAGAGCTCGGAAAGAGTCCATGCACTGGAGACGACGCTTCCCAGAGAAGCGCCTTATTGTCCGGACACGCGAATGCATATACCCGGAGAGGCATCTAATTCGGCGGAGGCGTTAAAGAAAATAAACTCCGACGACCCTTTTCGTTTACCCCGTCGCGTTTTTCCTCTCCATTGGGAGGTGGAATTAACGCCGAAATTTCATCGACCCTCGAATTCGACCGAAACCTACCGTCACCGATCATCCCTCGATTTAGAACCGATCGAAAGGGTTGCTCGGAGTTATCAGAAAATTATACTCGACTCGTTCACATATCCGGAAAGAAAATCCTACCCTCCTCTCGAGGGGAAGGTAATTACTCGTCACCATCGCGAAAGCAATTTAACCTGGGGTCAATCGATACAAAAGTCGTACCGTGAGGAAAAAATAAGACCCATGGAAGAACGTTCCTACGAGACCTTTGCCCAAGATATTCGCATCGTTTTAATAAATTGTGGATTTTGAATACTCATTCGAGGTTCGAAAAAGAGGACCAGGGGGAACGAAACGCGCATCGTGGAAAAAGATGTTCGATTCCTATTTGAAATTTGGAAAATATGAAAAATGAAGTCTATAAAGGGGGACGTCCAGAATCGTCGGGTCCTGGGATGCCTTCGCCTCGCGAAGACGCGAGGGTGTTTACCCCCCGGGAGGGCGAAAGAGCCCTCGCGCCCACATGCTTGCGCTGAAAAGCATCCTCGAGGGGGAAAGAACGCTCGAGGTTCCCCGGGCGGGGAACAATTAGTCCCGGACGGCAAAATAAAAACCCATCAATTCCCCGTGGACTTACCCGAGAGTCGTCATGGTGACGATGGTGTACCAGAAGGCGGCGGGGATGGAGGTGAAGTTGGTCCCGTCGACGTTCTTCTCGGCGTAGAACATGACGGTGGCGAAGATGATGATGGCCATGGCCAGGGAGAAGACGAGGAAGCCGAGCTCCGAGGCGCAGGACTTGAGCGTGTAGCCCAGGATGCGGAGGCCCTGGGAGTGCCGGGAGAACTTGAAGATCCGGAAGACCCGGAAGACCCGGAGGGTGACGAAGGCGCCGGAGACGTCGTCGTTGTCGGTGATGCCCAGGCCGATGTAGTAGGGCAGGATGGCGACGACGTCGATGATGGACATGACCGAGCGGGCGAACTTGCACCGGCTGGGGGCGGCGAAGAGCCTGAGGAGGTACTCGGCGGTGAAGATCATGACGCAGGCCGTGTCCAGGCAGAAGAAGACGATCTTGTAGCGCTCCCCGCAGGAGAGGGTGCCGGCTCGGCCGGGCCGGTTCCCGCAGGGCACCGTCTCGACGACGTTGGCCAGGACGCTGACGGCGATGAAGAAGCCCGTGACGTAGTAGAAGACCAAGGCGGCCGTGGAGATGTGGGGGTTCTGGAAGGCCCGCCACATCTTCTGCCGGATGTCGGTCAGCTGCTGGAGGTTCTGGTCGCCGTTCTCGCTGAGCTTGTCGTCCATGAGCCGCTCGGCGTTCTCGCGCTTCCGGTCCCGGTAGTCCTCGTAGCAGCAGTCGCCGATCACGTCGGGCAGGATCCCGAAGAAGGCGAGCTCCTCGTCGTAGCTCGTCAGGCACTCGTGCTTCGGGTAGTGCAGCTTCCCCGTCCGGTAGTAGTTGAGGATGTGCCGGAAAATGTCGGGGTCGCGGTCGAAGAAGTACTCCTTGCTCTCCTCGTCGTAGAAGAACTCGCGCTCGTTCGAGCCGAGCAGCGTGTCGGGGTACTTCTCGAGGGTGTTCCTCCAGGTCTCGAACCGGCGGCCGCTCACGTTGATCAGGAGCTTCTCGTCGTCGGCCTTCCGCCGGTCCTTGGGAATCGGCGGGGGCGGCAGCGGGTGGGTGGCGATCGGCACCCACCCGATCGCGGCCGCCCGGGCGAAGGGCAGCCACGCGGCCACCGACGCCATCCTCGGCCGACCTCTCCCGACCTCGACCGCGGAGCTTCGGCTCGGCCCAAGGAACCTCGGACGGCTCTAGCGGCCGCCGAGCCCGGCCCGGGCCGCCCTCGGCCGCCGCCCCCGGAAGCGGCCCCGCATGCCCGCCAACCGACCCCGGCTCCTCGGCTCCGATCAGCCTCGGTCCTCCATGGGTCGGCCACCGACCTTCCGACCACCGAAGCTTCGACCTCCCCGGAACGCGCACTTGGCCGGCGGTCGGCGAGAGTCTCCCACGTGCCGCGTCCGCCCGCAACCCTCTCCGGTCTCTCTCGCGCCCCGACGTGGAAACGATCGCCGGTCGCCGCGGCGACTACGTCAGCGAGTCCTCGCTCGAGGACTCGCGGCGGAGCGACGGAAAGCCGGATCCGTCTCCGGTCCGCATGGCCCGACGGGCTTCCGACGGAGGTGCGTCGCGCCGAAGCTTTCCGAGGTCTCGTGTCCCCTCTCTCTCGGGCCGTGAGTCCGAATCGGTGGGCACTCGCGCGCGACTGGTCGAGAGCTCGCGGGAGCGCGCTCTCTCGCCGCTCTCTCGCCGCTCTCTCGCCGCTCGCCGACGCAAGTCGCGCGCAACCAGCGAGCTTCTCCGCCTGGCTCAAAGTCCAAATTGATTTTTACGGGACGGCGTCGGTGGCGACGCGCGGCGTCCCAGTGCGGCAGCGCTCCGTTGCCCCGGCAACCGCTCCCGAGTCGTGACGTCATCCTCCCCTCCCGGCCGACGAGGAAGCTCCGGTTCCCCTGCCGGCCTTCTCCCCCCTACCTCGAACCGCGCCCTTCCTTCTTTCCTTCTTTCCTTCTTTCCTCGCGCGAGGAAGGGAGGAAAGAACGGCGACGGGGACGGCCGCGATGCGACGAGAGGTCCGCCTCTCCACCCGTCTCCGTCGCCGCCGCCGAGTAAACTTGTGCCGCTAATGAACGCGAGGGACTATAGCCTCAAAATGCAAGTACTCTTTCGCCGAGGCGGCGACGCCGCCCGACGCCGGCCCCGTGGGGGTGACGAGGCAAGTTCGAGCTGCGTTTTAATGCCGCGTAAAAGCTCGTCTATCCGGCCGCAACCGGGTCGCCTCCCGACCGAACCGCTCCCCCGAGACCGGAAGTAAAGCGACCCGAGCTTCCGACCTTCCCTCGACCGCGAGGTCGAAGAGACGTCCTCTCCTGGCGCCCATGAGCGGCACGACCAGGAGTCGAGGGTGAAATTCTTTTCAACCCCTGAGAAAACAATTTCATTTAACCAAGGAAATTGTTTCCTTGTATAGTCGCAGAAAAATATATTTCATTCATTCAAAGAATAATCGGACTCCAATAAATTCGAAAATATTGGACGCAACGTTTCTTCGGAATTATGACAATGAAGAAATCTTCTGGTTAAGTCGGGAGGGGGGGAATTAATTGAAATTAATGCCGAATTTGCAGATTTCCCTGGTCCAGGGTTCTTTTGGGATTCCGACGTTGACGGAATTGAACGCGGAAACGCTGGTTTCCGGCGGAAATTTTTTTAAGTACCTGAAGCCAAACTAACTCGAAAATGGACGTGCGACTGGCTTTCAATTCTAAATCAACGCATCGAGGAGCGGACAAGCATTGTTCGCGATAATTTGGAAATGGACTCGGAAACAGAATCCACGGGGCTCTATTTTCGAGTTCCGCCTCTATCTCCTCCACTACCAATTGTTACCTCGAATTTCGCGCAAGCCCTGACTTTGCCATGCGCGAGACTCTTTTCTATTCATAGCTCGTGCAGAAAAAAAAAATAGATGACGATCGTTTGTGTTTACATTCAATGGCCAAGACAACTCGATAGATAAAAATAAATGTCACGAGCTTAAAAATAAGCGATGGTCAAAATCGACCGCGATCGAGGCCGCGAAAGAGACCTCTGTACACGTGGGAGAGTACTTACGAGAAAATCGCGTGAATTTTTTTATTTTTTAAATTTATTAAATACCCCCGACATAGATGGAAAATTTAGATACCTAAAAGTACGAAAAACTTGAAGCGGTATTCCAAACCCTGGCTTAGGGGTAGGCCGCCATTATTTGCGCCATTATGTCCGCGAAACTGCGGTATAAACGCGAAGGATCAGGGGAAAACGACATAAATACGAGCAACCCTGTCCATGGGCTGCACGGTAGCTAGATGGGAAGCGATTTACGAGGCACGGTAAACCGGAGATTTATCGAGTGTTACTGCGATAGCTTTCTTCGCAGGGGTGAACGTTTCGCGTTTTTATCTTCCCTTTTATTTTTATTTTATTTTTATATTTTTTTTTTTTTTTGTCAGCCAGCCCGGTTAAAAGGATTGGTCAGCGCGGTTGTAACGGAGGAGTAAAACGAGATCCAGGCGGAAGGAAATTTGAATTTCGATTTTCTCCCTCCGGCCCCTCTCGCGGAACTGCGTATTTCGGTGAATGGCGGGAATCAAGGGTAACTTCCGGTTCGGCAGCCTCGTTCAATGAGGGAATCAGGGGAGTTAACTTCCGACTATCGCGGAGGCCCATTTTGCGGCGACGTCGAGCTCTTGACTTCCAGCCCCGGTCCGAGGTTCGACGCCAATCGAAATTTCGAATCCCAAGGGGATGATTATCCCCGACTTCGGGAATTACCTCGCGACCCTTCCATTCACCCGCGTACTACATATTGAACGATAAACGTGCGGAATCCACGTGGATGAAAAAATTTCACGACTCGCCGCTGGAACGCACTCCGAAAAGGTGCTCGAACGCTCTATTTGTCGGTAAAAAAATGATCGGAAAAGGTAATTCGATTTATGGGGATACTCTTTCCTCGCGAACATCCAAGAGACCGTGGAATCGAGAGAAGTTGATTAAGAAGCAGTTAAGTCTTGGAGATGCGGAAAGTACATCGACGCGTACTACATATTGAACGATAAACGTGCGGAATCCACGTGGATGAAAAAATTTCACGACTCGCCGCTGGAACGCACTCCGAAAAGGTGCTCGAACGCTCTATTTGTCGGTAAAAAAATGATCGGAAAAGGTAATTCGATTTATGGGGATACTATTTCCTCGCGAGCATCCAAGAGACCGTGGAATCGAGAGAAGTTGATTAAGAAGCAGTTAAGTCTTGGAGATGCGGAAAGGTACATCGACTAACGAGCTAATGGAAAAGGCAGCGCGAAGCCAACTCGTTAAAACGGGGAAAAAGCGTTTTTTAACGAGAAATCCGAGAATCCGCTTCCGGCTATCCCGAGGATACATCAAATCGCGTGCGTAAATTCCTCCCGAGCGGAAGCCGCGATACCAACGTGACACGAAAGGAAGTAATTCCAGGTTGATCCCTCCTTTTCGGAAATTAATCTCATGATCCTCTCTTGCGTTCTCTTCGTTGCACCCCGCAAGTGAAGAGAGGTTTTCCATGGAGGGGAAAAAAACAAATCGGGGGAGGAGAAAATTCATTAAACGAAGTAAACGAGCAACGTTCACCGAAACCTATCGAGTCGATCAAAGTCGGACTCTGCAAGCCGCGTCTAAAAATATCCCGATTGAAAGACGACTTCAAAAGAGCGACGAATGCCAAGATGTCGCCGGAGGCGGGATAGATTTGGAAAATTTGCAATTTTTCCCGACTTTCGCCAAGTTTATCCACCGCGCGAGGGGAATTCGTCCTAACCCCGTATTCGGTAATTGTTGAATCCGCCGCCGTTTCAATTAATTAACGCGGGCACCATTAATAGCGCGTTAATTTCGAATAATTAATCCGACCAGGCCTGGAGTTTTTCGGGGAAACGCGAGTAAAGGAAACCGATCCCCTCGCATTAGGAGGGATCTAGATATCGCGCGGAAAAGAAAAAAAAATGGGTCACCCGGTTTTTTCGTTTTCTGACCCATTAGCGAGGCGCGGGAATTCTGAAACCGACGCTTAAGACCGATAAGGAATTCTCGCGCGATAATTCGCGAAATTCTGAATCACGGCCCGTGGCCCTCCTCTCGCCCCAAATCTACGGGAATGTTTTGGGGAAATTTTCTGCCGTCTCGGGTGGATGAAAAAATTCAGAGAGTCCTGGACATGTTCGCCAGTCTAATGCCAAAAATGCTGGCAATTTTGGGCAACCTACATCTCGCGATGATGCCGGCAGGCAGCTCGCTAACCGACCGGGCCGAGTCCCCTTTGATGTTCGCCGCGATAATTCGCGGCACTTTGAGGTTAGGTACACTTGCAAATCCTCCCGTGGAAAAAGGTACGCGACCGAGCATTCCCTTCCGTCCGAGTAATTCGAAAATTCGCGTTATTAACGCGAAACGCGTCAGCTGCGTTTTAATCCCGCCGCTCGTAACGAGTCTTTAGCCGAGGACCGTTTTTCATTTAACGGCGCCATCTTTAATCGAGAGATACGATCGTCCACAGGTTAGGCCATTGGATTTTCAAAAGTGGCTCGCAGCCTCCGCTCGCTCCCAGTTGCTTTATTTTTCACCGCACAAATCAGCGCGCGGTTAATCGGTCCCATCGATGAAAACGAAAAAAAAAAAAGAAAAAGAGGGAATTTTCTCCCCCACGCTAACAGGGGGCATAAAGTATTCACGGAGGGGGGAAGGTCACCAAATCACGAGTCCGCCGTTCAAATTGTACATAAAGACGATTTTTATTTTTAAATACTTCCTGGACACCGATACTTCTGTCTTTTTCTCTTATTTCATCAATGTCTCTTAACCACCAGTAGGCGCTCTCCAGTTCGTTAATTCGACTGTCGGAGGTTAGAATCTGAGTCTCGTTAGGAAAAAGCGACGGACGCCAATCGGCCACAAAACGATCGAGCACGCGTGACCGATGGGCTTCCGAAAAATCGACTCGAATTACTGACGAGTCGAATCGTCAAGCGGTGCAACGCGATACGCAACGTCGTTCGGGTGACTCCCCGAGCGATCGATCGATCGGTACTGGAAAAGAAACTCGGTCGATCGGCGATCGAGTCGCGAGGGTGGTCTTTCGGCGACGGCGAAACCGCGAATGCCGTCCGAGACCGTTCTAATTTCCCGGGAAGGCCGCAAAATCTCCTCGGACGTCGATCGGTCGGTTGAGTTTCCTTCGTCGGGCCGCGGATTTGCATACATTGTTCGCGATACATTTCTCGGCCAACGTTAAGTAGCCCCGATATGTCACGGTTACGTGTGGGTACATCCGTAAAGATTAACGGCACGGGGCTTCCGAGTTCGTACAACTTCCGCAACCGTAACGTTAAGTTATGCCCCGCGTTAATGTATAGCACGGAATTACGGTTATGAATTTAATACACCCTACGTGCGATTCCCGACGTCACGGATCGCGCGCCATTAGCGAGAAATAATCGCGACGGGATGCGAGACGCGTCTTAACTCCCCGTGACGGTGGAATTTCGGAAGATTTTACGGAACATCGCTCGGAATTATCCGACCGGGTGAATTCGTCCGCTTGAAACGAGGGCGGAAGAAGTCGTGAGAACTAGGGGGCTAGAAAAAGTACCTAGGCCTCGGGAATAATATCCCTTGCCGACGAAGGACCGTCGACGTCCGCTGGATCGGAGCTGGATGCAGATCGAGGGATGAAATCGCGATCGATCGGTCGTCTCCCTTCTTTCTTTTATACGATCCGTCTCGCCGACCTTGGCGAGAGAAATCCCCCGCCTCGCTCGCACCGGTAATATTAATCGTTAATATATCCGCAGCCTCGATATACACGGCGGCCAAACGTAAGCAACAATATATACACATTAAAAAGCGTCGTTATAGTTAGTTTCGGGGGGTTCGATCGGTGAGGGAGAGCAAAGGGCCGGGCGAGGACGACGCGCCATTTACGGTTTCCCCTAGATCCAAAATGGCCGACGTCGGGCTCGCCCGATTGGTCGGTTCCTCTTTGTGCTTTCGCAAATTGACGCTACTCGCTCCTGGCTTTTCCTCGGGACCTCGGGAATATCCACGGGACATCTACCGAGGGATCTCCACTTAAACGTCGAACAAAAGTGCAAACCTTCTCGATTTACGGGATTTACGAGAAGTCGGTGGCGGTTGATTCGCGCCGTCGGGGAATGAAAAAACATCCTCGAGATAAATCAATCCCGATGGGGTGTAGCTTTGCAATTTATTCGCGCCAGGGAGAATATATTCGAGGAATGACAAATGCTCGGACTCGAGTAGACTCGTATCTCCGGAATGGATGGCAAAACCGCGTCGAAAAGATTTATTTCTCTCGGTCGAAAGACTTTCTTATTTTCTGGGTGCGTAAACCGCCGCGGAGTAAGTATTTATCGAGGCTACGGTTTGATTAAGGAAAAAATTGATTTTTTTCACAGGAAGGACCTAGGACATCTCATGGATCTCCCGTGGATATTCCCGGCTACGTACATGTGCTCGATGGCTCGAAAATGCCGTCCCTCTTCGGTTGAGGGATGCCCGCTCGATCGGCGACTCGAGATCCACAGGGCACGCCATGTTGGATGTATAAATATATTTATATAGAATATTTATATATATACGTGTAAACACTAAGTTATCTAGAAAAAGCCCTAATACTGCACATATCTTCAATTTTACACAAATATCAGCGGCGTCCACCAGTCGCCTCGGATTGCGCTCGAGCTCCAGTTACGTTTACGTCTTATATACAGTATTCCCAGATCGAGAGAATTCCCATTGGATTTAATTCGTTACTAATTAGTAATTAATTATTTAAGGTACCGTAGGAGTAATAGCATAGTTTCCAAGAAATTCGAAAGTATGGCTAGTACCGGACCTCGGTGGAACGAAAGTGCGCTTCGTAATGTCATATCTGGAGATACGACACGTTCTATGATATTTCCATATCTCTTCAGTTATCCCGCCCTGTACGCGAAGCTACCACCTGGGAATCCGTAAAAATCCGTCCTCCGAATTTCGGTATAGATCGGTTAGGGTTAAAAATGAAGAAACGTGACAAACGAGGCGCTCATCGAATTCGAAGGGAAACGGCTACGACGATTAGGCCGATCGCTCGATCGTTGAGCTATCGATCAACGGTCGGAAATCGAACCTTCGATCGCGAATCACAAGTACGCGGGAACGAGAGTGGTATCGACGCCAGATCCAAGGAATTTCGAGTCGAATAAATGATTCGCTTTCAAAAACAATAAAGTGAATACATTTCAAGGTTGAACACTCTTTGGTATAGAGACATCGAATGAAATAAATATCACCTACGCATAACGCAATTAAGAGATTCATGAGAAAAATGAACATGCTAAACGCGCAATGGAATGCCTATAAAAAAAAGAAATACCCTTCAAAGTTGAACACATTTTGGTTGATATCGAAACGCTAATAAGAAATCGCAGAGAAAAAATTAAATATACACCTTGGAAAATATTTACGAAGCGAGCCTGAAAGCGTATTGGATCGAAGAAGGGAAACGTTCGAAATGCGCTTAACCCCTGCAAACATTTCAGTTATCCGATCTCCAAATAGAGTAAAAGTCCCTCGATAAGGTTCGAATGTCCGAAAATTCCTGGAGAATGCGATCCTTGGCGGAAAGTGGCCCATACCTCTTCCTATCCTACACATTATCGGACCGACCCGATAACCTCGTGTATTAATGCAACGGCCGAAAATACATTGAAAACAAATTAAAAATAATAAATCATAAAATAACATCTGCCAAAAAAAAAAATTAGCAGACTGACTTGGTCATTTATCGATCGGACACTGCATCGTTCCTCGCGTATCGGACCGATCGAGATCGGCGAGAAGAGGGAAGCAAAAGCCCAAAATCGAGGCGTTTCGAGAAATCGGAGCGTTAGGCTTCGCCCGTCAGATTGACCGAGGAAATCGCGCTAGAAGGAGGAACCTCGAACGAGAGCGTAAATACTAATCGCAAGGAAGTAGGAAAAAGGGAACGTCGCGCCATCCGAGAGAGAAAATCGAGTTTAGTCCTCGACCATACGTCGACAAAAGGGCAGATATCGTTGCCGTTTACGTTCCCGGATCGGTCCGAGGAGACCATTTCCCGACCACGTTTCCGTGATTTCCCGCGATCGGGATCCTCGAGACGGCTCCAAAGCCGGAATTTTACGAGCGAGCTTAAGCGCTAAGTCGCGATTTATTTACCGGCTCGGCCAATAAACGAGCGGGATTCGACCCCCGAACTCTGGCTCGGAACCCTTCGAATTGATTTTAAATGCGACCCTATAACTCGGGCTTAAAACTTCATTTTCTACAGGCGGTAGTTAACCATTCACGGCGGAACGAGATTTGCCCACTCCTCCGGGAATGGGATTTTCGAAACCGTTTCGAGACGACTTAATCTCGAGGGCTTGATTTTTCCTATAGGGCTAAAAAAAAAGTGCTCGCAAAAATTCGGCCTCGCAGTCGTCCCTAAGACAATTGCATCGGTGCTCCCAATCGTGCGCGAGGTCGGCCTGCTATGCGCACTTTAACTTTAAGGCTACTCCTTAGAAATACGCACGTACGAATGTATAAAACTCGATCGCGGCGCGGCGGAAATCTAATTGATCCGCCGGTCGCGAGATTTCGCTCACAGATCGTACAAACACATCATTTTCGCTCTTTCGCTTCATTAATTACGAAACATGCACGCGCGATCGCTCGAACGGGTCGACTTCGAAACGGGCTTTTTAACGATCGACGCCAGTAACGACCGATGACAATGCCGCGTTTGGAGGCGTCATATTTACGGGACGCAAATCACTCGGCATATCAAGCGTGGAATAGTTAATAGAGGAAGTAATACCGCCGTTAAATCGTCAGTTAAGTTTTGATCGCAGTTATCGTCGGCCATGTTGAATTCGGCAACGTACGGAATATCCTTAAATAAATGATTTCGCTTCTCTCGATGCAAACGCTTTAATAATTGTTTTCAATGCTATAAAGGATACGCGTGGTCTCTTCTTTGCATTTTCTCGCGCGATGGAAAATTTCCGAAGTCCCTCGTCGGGGGGCGGGAAAATTTGGCGGGACTTTGAAAATCGCGAAACGAGTCGACGCTTTCGAGCGAACTCACTTGGAGCGTGCTCGGGACATTTCGCCCTCCACCTTCCAGATAAAAAACCTGTTGTCTCAACGGCTTCGAAGATCAAAGACTCGCAGCCGACGTGCGTGTTCGCACGGTATTTAAGTACGCATACATACGGAGAAATGTATGAAGAGAGCTACGGAGGCGAGCTTTTGACCCATAAGTCGTCCGAAGGCATACAATTATTACGATTGTAACATCAAATTGTATAAATTATGGCACATCTAGAGGAAACTATTACCAACTATTCGTACGGGCAGGTCTCGATACTTTCCTATCACTGTTGACCATCGCTCGCTCTCGCGACTGGACCCCTAAAATGCTACGCTAGACGATCCGAAAAAGTCCCTGAACATTTATTTCTATAAATTTTTTTCTTTTCCTAGCGAACGTACTTACAGGCGTTCACGCGATATCGGGTAATCGCTATGCTCCGCTTTCCGATGACGGTGATATAACTTCAAGATTGTAATACTGCTTCCATAGATGTGTAAAGTAGGAATGTAAATAAGCGAAATTACCATGCTCGCTGTTTAATCGAGATATTTTCGACCTAACTTCAACGTATTGCAGAGGGCTTTCCAGAGTTATCGGATTCTCAAAAATTAATGTATTCGTTTACAAAGAAATCGTGTAACCGCGCCACTTAGTACTTAAACGTAAAATAATTTACATGGAGACTTCCATACTGAATCTCAATATAGAAAATAATAATACTAGTCATTGATGCCAATTGTTCACCAATTTCGCCACAATTATTAATGTCGATCGTACTATCCTCTTAAATTGTACTAAACTCAAATAAACGATATTCGTACATTATGACGATCAATACAAAATATAAACGCTTACAAACATTCAAGCTCGAATGTGCCGTTTGAAACAAATAATAAAATATTTTACACTCGTAAAAAAAAAAATGTGTATTCGCACACGACCGTCTTAAAAAATGATACAAAATGTTTCTCGCGCGTGATGAATCGCTCCCTCGATAATTTGTACAAATAAATATTACTGTACATTCATTTAAATTTATTTAGAGTCGTCAGGCTCTATAAAAGCAGATTAGCTTAAAGTTATAGCTCTTTTCCGCAATCGACATTCTCGGCTGACTGCAGAATGTAGCCGATGTCATATCACGGTATTAGCAGGGATTATCTGCCGTGTATTTTGACTTATCTAACATCTGCTATTATTTATTGTGTGTCAAAGATTTATCAAACGATCGAGAACCTGCCCTTAGGTTTTCCAGCGTACCGTAACTTGTGCGTGTGTTGTTATTTCAAATTGTCTCAGCAATTACTATGACGTTCCTCCTTATTTACAGGGATCGAAACATACGCTGTATATCACTGGTAAATACCGTCAAAATCGTTTATGCAAAGAGCGCATATCGAGGACACTTAATCCATTACATCCGTTAGGTCGAATCCAGTGCATCGAGATCTTTCCGTCTATTTTTGAGATTATTCAAATTTTCAACCACAGACACGTCTGTCTCAAAAATCATCAAGCTAATAATCCTAATACACGAAACTTAACTTTCATCGATCTAAAATTGCATAGAATCCTTCCTAACCACAAGATCTACCCTGTAAAAAGAACTGATTTGAACATAATCTTTGTTAATACGCAAATAAATTTTTCACAGTCACGCGTAACGTTCTTTCATGAACTTAAAATTATTACTAGCTAATTACGCACAACCGGGAGATTTGCGAAAGACTTTTTTTCCGTCTAGAAGCTTAACTCCCTCGGAATGTGAAATTTCGGCAGGAAGCTCAGGACATTTGTGAAATTTTATTATTAAGAATGAGTATTTACTTCCATTTAATTGGATTAAAATCATTGTTATTGTAGGGTAAAGTTCCCCGACGTTAATTAAGATTTACTGCCGCTTTCCTGATTACAATCGGAGATCAGAAAGTCTGGGCTGGGTTCGCGATCTTATCCCATTCGCCAATCTCCCTTACAGTGTACACGTATAAAATAAAAATCAAATAAAACAAAATCGTAAACTAAAGAAAAAGCAACATCGACCTCTCGTACACTAATTAGCCATTAAGGATCGAACGCGCCGACTCTTAGCGTTCACTGATCAATAAATACATCTCTCTCGATACATCCAACATGACACATGCATACCGTTATGACACATGGATTGACTCATTGACTCTTTCTACTCGCGTTCGCCGATTTCAGAAGAAAAAAAAGAGAAGCAACGTGACCTCTTGTGGGTCCGACTATTCGTGTCGGTATTCCTTTTTTTATAAGAAAGTCCATACTCCGATCGATTCACCTTGGCAAAGAGGACATCTTACAAGGGTACGCGCCCTAATAATTATCAACTAAATGTGAGACCAACTATTATGCGTTGACTGTTAAACGACGCGAGTCGAACGATTCATACAAAACGTGCCGAAGCCGACTCGCGATGCTCCGGACGGAGAAACGACACGTTATCATTGCGCTGATCACTTATGCGCCATTAATGTCGTTGCTCTTCCTGCTCGGTAAAGCTCCCAGGACGAGGTCCGTCACTCAAACCATGACGATAGCTTCCTTGCCACAGAATAGGAATGGATATTGATCGATCATCGTCTGCACAACGTCCTCCAAGTACGGCCTCATAGCTTCGAACCTGCCTAGGTCGTTAAACTCTATCGGCAGAAGAGTTGGCCACCAGCAGATTGCTAGGTTTTTGCTGTCCATACTGTTCAACTTACAGTTCTCGGCAACTCTGAAACCCGAGCGGAAATTAGAATTTTCAATATAAAACGGAATTAAAAAAAATCCGCTCGGCATCGCCAATCCGGATAAAAATAAAATACTTACTTGACGAAATGTTGAAAAATAAATTTCAAGACGTCGAAATTCACCGGATTCAACTTGTTAAGCATGAGACGCAAGGCGAGCAGTCTACAGCTTCGGTCTGCAATTACCGTAATTATTGGTCGGATATTTTGAGAATCGAAATAAAAATAGAAATAAGAGCGAATCACAAAATTCAAAGAATCTTGTGTCTAATGCAAAACGATACGATACTGACCTTCCATATTCATGCAAGTTGCTGACATCGGTTTGCTGATACCGCGTGCACCTACGATGAGAACGGAAATGAAAATACGTTGTATAATTGTTGGATCCGTAAATACCATTCCCATAAATCCGTAAATACGATAAACGAGAAGAGAAGCACCAGTCAATTCAGAAGAAAAATTTGGCACTTTCGTAGAATCTTGAGAAAAACTTACCCGATATATCCTCCAATTCACTCATACGGTCTTTGTCGATCAATGGCGGTAACCTTTTCGAAAAGAAGTCCTTCAAAGCAGTTGCTACGGCATTTACAGGAATGTCCAACGAATGTATATCCACGTTACCATCTACAAATATTAAATGGAACATAAGCAATGCAATGCGCTAACAAAATAAAGTAATGTAATTTGTTATCCACCTTCTTCAAACTTCTGAAAGAGCAGCTCGACATGTGCTCGGTTACCAGGCACCCTGTATATTCCTTCCGAGTCTAAACCCTCGTCCTCGATAAAACGTACACATTTCTCAAGAAAGAGAGGGATTCTATTTGTCTCGCTCTGGGCAAAGTCTTCGATTAAAGGTTGTTGAAGCTGCGATTGTCCAGACATGGTTGCGCCGCTTCCAGCTTTGGTCTGTTTAAGTTTCTCCTGCTTCTTCTTTTCTCTCTCCTTTTCTTTTTCCGCGTGCTTCTTCAATTTTTCCTCCTTGAGTCGCCGTTTCTCCATTTTCTCGTCCTCCTTCGCCTTCTGCTTGTCCCTCTTTCGACTAAGTTTATCGCCTTCCTTCCCCTTCGCCAGGATACCAAACTGTTCAGTAACGTGCTTTCAATGATAATTAAAAAATAAATGGAAACATGATTAAACTACATCTTCCCCGACGCCATAGAATCAACTGATTTTCTGAATGCGAACACGATGTTAAACATTTTATTATTATATTATTTTAACTCCGTTCAGACATATTTTTCTATTGCAGTTAGAGATATATTTTGAAACACGCGCGCCTAACTGCTTACATATAGTTGGAATGTGCTTAAATATTGCTCATAGAACGCCAAATATTTTTTTTTCACATAACTATGATACTCAATCAAATCATAGAATCTTTAATTTCTACAAAATATCTTGGTGACTTACGCTGGGAGAGTTGATTTCCCGTGGAGAGGAGACGTCTAAACTGGACTCGTCGTCTGGAATGTTGCCGAAGGAATTATCAACCCTTTGTTTAGCTACACAGATAAAAGATTAATACAAAATAAAAAAAAATATCCCGGGACCTTGCTAAATTCTTTTATAGCTCCATATACTCCGAAATATTCCGGTAAGATTACGTGCAAGACTTACAGGCCGTACTAAACATTTCTTGTGTCATGTGTTTCAAATTGAAAGGATGTTGCAACGTTGCAGCAAGATGCTGATGTTGCAGCGAATTTCCAAACCTTCTTCTTAAGCTCACTGCTGCATGTTTATACTGTTTTGACCTAGACCTGGAGGTGTGTTCTGGGTCGCTTGATTCAGAACTGTCTGGCGTTTCGCTCGATACTACTAGAACAAACCCCATGAATACAAGTTATTAATCAGACAGTGTATCAGAAAATATATCCAAACATGAAATAAAATTTCCGAACCTCGTTCCACTGGCTCGACACGCCAATTCTTCTCTTCCTTCATTGTGTAATTCAGTCCAACGATCCCATCTCCACTGCCCATACTAACTAACGATGGTACCTTAGGAGTAGCTACTGGTATCGCAGTACGTTTTTTACGTATTCTTTTATGAGATGAAGGTTTCTTGGTGCCCTTTCCTATCACGTCCGCGACCCTCTGTCTCTCCAAGGAACTCCACTCCGAATCCGAGTCACTGTATGCTTTTATGAAAAAAAAAAAAAAAATGTATATTACACTACATTCGTAAGTATCAGTATTCGGCATTCCACGTCATGCAAGAAGCTATTCATCGACTAGACAAGAGTTCTTACATGGTTGTCCCTTTTCTCGCCTATGACGTAGTTTCGACTTGTTATTTCCAATAGAATCCTGAACCAAAGCATACATGTAGTCGCCATCATAAGCCGAATATAAATTTGGTACCACATCTTTAACTTGTGCATATTCAGAGCCAAGATCTACCAGTTCAGGAGTCGCGAGAGGGGCATGACCCATGCCGATTTTACTACCATGCTCATCCTTCTCTCCTATGGTCATCCTAGCTATCGCGTCTGTCACATTTGAAAAGTCCTTTAAATTGATTTTCCCAGGTTGCTTCAGGGTTTGACTGTTTCCTTTCGGTCTTGGTTTCATCTGAGAAATGTGTCGCCGTCCGGTAGTGAACGCGCGATGAGAGTAACTGTTCGTAACTCCATCTTGATGCATAAATGTGTCTTTGACCCAACCTATGCCACGAAATAAGGTTACAAATATTAATTACGAAAGACTTGTAAGGACATTGCACATAATCAAAATACAGGAATACATTCATGGACCAAAGTAAGCATACCCAACAATGTTGCTTACCTGACAGCTTGTTAGGGATGTCTCCGCTCTTTAATAGCTCCCTTTCTCTCTCCTCCCTGTGAAAATCGACTTGACTGTATATATCGCTATCGTCACTAGGAGTGGCTCTGTTGTCAGCAAATTGCTCGGTCAGCCCAGTATCACCAAGGTCTCCATCCGGAGTTAACTGCTCGTACGACTCCGAACCGCTCCTAAAAGTCACGGACATACTGCTACACATTAGACTTTTAACTTACACTGAGAATAATAATTTGTATAACATTTGAGTACATTATAACAAAAAAGTTGTTTCAAGTGCTTACCCATCATCCGGTGTCTGCAGATGATAGCTCTCATGACGTGGAGGTGGCATCGGATGTAAAGCGGAGTACTCCAAAGTACCTTCACCGCTATCGTTCAAATTACCAGGCTCTTCCATGTTAAATGCTTGTTCGATTTCAGGTTTCTTCTCCCAGACTTCTTTGAAAAACGGAGTGTAGAAAGCAGCTATAAAATAAAATAAAATAAATATAAAAACGTTAAGATGAAGCAAAAATATTTTTCAAATTTAACAAGTACAGCATTTTTGTGGATGGTCAGCACAATTAAGAAAATTATGTCCCGATCATACTTTTTTGTTGACAACTTGATGCCGATGTCATGAAATGCGCTTGCAATCTGTCTGCAATGGCATTTCCCTCCGTGATGAGTGCATGACTTAAGTCGTTACTGAAGAAGGCATTTGCTCCACCAGTGTCAGTTACAGCCATTATTTGGATCGGTAAATTTGGTATGTTCATTGAAAAGGCACTAAGAACGATATGAATGATTAATCGTATGAGCCTGAACAGCAATTAATCTGGTAAGATTAATTGCAAAATGCACAACTTACTTAAGGGTTGCTAAAGAAGCTTTCCGTTTTGTAGAATACACTAAAATGAATCCATGGACCAGTTCATCTCTAAATGCATTTGCCCCGTGAAAACTAGAAATTATAACTTCGACTCGTCGCTTCGACTCCCCTAGGAACGTTTCCAATACGATAGATCTGTCACCACTCAAAAAGCAACACTGATGACTCAACAATGGCCCTAAAACGTTTTCTACCGAATAAGGATCTCCACAAAACATACACATTATTATTCTGAAAAAAATGAAATAATGATCAGAAGTCGACACCGTGTTCAATCAGAACTTGTTGAAAATGTCACTAATTTCATCTAGAAGTACCTTATGTCAGGCTCCAAGCACTCAATGACACTTTGATAAATGTTCAAGAAACCTGCACGGTGATTTATAGATTGTATGAGTTGCTGAAGTGCATCTTTCACAAGTGCTGTGGGAAATCTCTTATCCGGTTCTAAGTCATCGATGCACACATCGATGAAAGGGCACTGCAAGCTGTAATAAAATATGCATGAATATTATAAAACCGAAGTAAAAATTAATTGGTATCAAATATTATAATACCGTGCTTCACAAAACATATTACACACCTGTCTGCAAGACTCTGGCCTTCTTCTCTGAGACGTAACGCTTCAATCTCATCAATACTGGATTCTGGGACGAACATTATAACAATTGGCAAACCCTGAAAAGGGAGCCTGTCCTCTTGCTCTAGATTTGATAAAAGGGTCTTTTCCAAAGAAGAGCGTATATATTCGAAAGACTCCTCGTTTGCATAGATGCAGAAGGATCCTGAAAATTGAGGTGTAATTATAACGTTTTTTTTATTTTATCTTTAAATTATTGTAAAAGTGTAAAGAGGAGTACCGTGTGGCATAAAGTCAGAAGTAGTAAAAGAATTATGCGGCAATCCTACATCCCCATCGATGACTCTGTAACCGAGGGTATACAACTGACAATCGATCTCCACCTCATCGTCTTCTGTCTGTGCTCTGATTTCACGTGCAAATTCTTCACTGAGACCATTACTGCCAAGTATAACTAAATTTAATTCATTGTTTTCTGATGATAGTTGCCACTGGCTACTGTGGTTCCACGAGGACGGTCTATAAAAAAAAAATGTATTCTTTACCTATCATGAAGAGCCATTATGGAACATAAAAAAAATTAAAGTATTTAAGTTTTAGTTACCTGTGCGCTTTTGTTCCAAGTATTCGTTCTATTAGAGCATCCATACAATTTGGAAATGCTGGACAGTGTTCTCTTCTTGGGCAATGTACAAATCCCAAATGCTGGAACAGCATTAGCTTTCGATCCTGATCGAGTCTATCTAAAGCTTTATATCTAAACAAACAGAAAGCATTATTAGAATCGAACGTAAGATGTAGGGGAAAGTACAAGATAGAATATACGTTTCCCAATGAATTAAGTGAATTTCATTCTGAATATTTACCTAAAGTCATCTATCAAAGCATCAGTGATTTCTTTGATATCGTCTTGCGTGATTGTTCCCGAAGGAGCTATACTTTTGAAATGATAAAATAGGTCTGCGTGTTCCAATAATAATTCCTAAAAGAAATTGATATGAAAGGTTAATGTTCTGTATGTATTTGAGAGAACTCGGCATAGTTGTAATACAAACCTGAAAATTGTGTTTTGCCTTTTCGATAATTTCTTTTTGATGCTGATCATAAATTTCGTGACAATCGAGATGAGAAAGAGCTTCAAAACATTCCCGTCCCATGAAAAGCACTCTAACTTCTGACAAATGTTTGCCAGGAGTAACATATCCGGTTTCTTCTAGTAACTGTTTGAATTGTTTCTTCCATCTACAGAGACGTTGAAATATTAAAACTGAATGTCAAAATATGGATGCAATATGAAGTGAACCGTTAATGTAACATAAAGCCGTCTATGTTACACTTATAACTACTCCGCAACTAATCTATTGAATTCATAAATAAAATATGAGTAAAACCGAACTATTGCTAATTAAAGAATTGTTTGAAATTATTTAACATGAGGTTTAAACTAAACTTTTTAAGTATGCAAACCCTTTCAAACAAATCTCGATGATTGGAAATGGAGGGACACGTGTCATATCAACTCTCTGCGAAACCACAAACCACAAAGAATTCTCATGTTTCTCTCGCATTGCAATGCGTTACGAATCGTCGTAATATTAACCAACATTGATCAAGATTCAAACGACAATCTTGACGTAAAACTTCACAATAATTCTGATTTAGAAATTCATTTAACACTGATTGTAAAATATTCTATGTAATAATTTAGAGCATAACTCAAACTAGACGATTATTTTGACAATTCCGTATACATTTTTAAATTACACAGCGATATATAAGCATATAGCATTACCTTTTTGGAAGTCTGCATAAAGAAACGCCACCCAGAATAAAGCAAAAGCATTAGTACACTGCTCAGGAATAATTTTAAAAATATTGTTTTAGACACCCCTAGTAGTAATTTGGTTGCATCTATATGGAAATACCCACACCACGTTATAGTTCACAGTTACGATAGAAAAAGTAATCAAATTGCTAACTAATCTAACATCTCTATCATGGGTGAACTCTATTAGTTGAGACATCACTGCAGTCGAACATGTAACAAGTTCTACAGGAGTATTAGAATTCTGTCATCGAAAAGCACCGATAACAAAGTACTTACTCGAGTCTTCGCTGCTCTTGTTGTAGAGCATTTACATGGTTCTTAAACACAGTCTCTGCTTCTGGTGTTTCCAATACATCATACGGAATCTTTGAAGTGTTATTTTCTCCAAAATCATAATCGATCCAAGGAATATCTTCGGGGCATTCATAAAAGTACTGATGAAAATCAGGATGTTCCTTTATGTACTGTTGCACCATAGACCAATCCCTAAGAAGAATGGTGAAAAATGCAAAACTCATAAAGTCTCAATACATAGCGGAAAGCATATGACCATGACAAAATTAATTATCATAACGATACAACAGTTTGTTGCTTGCGGCACTTACTCGTTAATTAAATTAGATATGTCTGGACATATTTCTTGAAGTATTTCTGGCAGCATATCTAAGTAGCCTTGAATCTTCTTGGCCACTTGTTCGTCTTTTAATTTTTTAATGTGTCTTCTGAATTGTCGCTGAGTAGCATCGATGCCAAACAATTCCACAAAGGTTGTGAACTCTTTGTACTGTGCTAACTTTTTGGATGCTTGAGACCAGAGTGCTCTATAATCGGTAACATGTACCCGAATGAGCCTTTGCAAAGACTCTGTCGAAGAATCCAAAAGTTCCTTTCTAGCTCTGGCTGCTTCAGCGAAAGGAGTCACTTTACTACGCATCTTGGTCTTGTCAATCATTTGTGCCAAAAGTACAAAGGCCAAATCAATATTTATGTTTTCGTGTGCGGAAGTCTCCACTAACAAAATTGAATTCTTGTATTCCTTCCGCATGACCAATTTCTCAGCTTCTTTCACGTACTGTTCACTTGCATCGTCATTCTTGGTCGTGACCAATATCAATGGTTTTTTGGTCTTCATTAGATTGTTCAGTATATTTGCCACTATCTCTATCTGCTTCTCTATGGAACGGTTCGGTACTACACTAACGTCAAAGACACACAGAAACCCGTCGATATTCAATTTCCCATCCGGTAGAACCTTTTGCTCATACTCCTTCTCAATCCCTAATTGATTCTTGCAAATATACATCAGCTTCTCTGCGCTGGTAATCTTGGTGGCAGAACATCTTTTCGCATAAGGTTCCATTTTGCCTCCTTTGAAAGGTTGAAAGGAAGCATCATCTATAAATTCAGTGTGTTCTATCACTTGAAATTGAAATTCGGTTCCATCTTCCATAGACTTCGTCACTTCTCCCCAGTAAAGAAAGTGATCGTTATTCACGACTCGACCACTGAAGTCGGACTATAAAAACATAAAATAGAAATATGATTTCAAAGACCTTATTTTACTGAGCTTACTAAAAATATATGGTAAAAAAAAAGTTTTAAAAAATAGAAATGATAAATATTCTAGCCAACACATTTTCAGGTAATGAGGTTTGTTTCAATCTCCTTTATGCTTGCCCTTGTTCACCTTTGAATACATATTACAGGAATAAAATATAAGTGCCAAAATTTAGAACACTTAACACTTGCATTTTATATTAATAATTAATATAATTAATCACCTGTGACAGAACAGAAATATGATCCACGCTGTAGTCGTCACAGAGTGAGCGCATGAAACGATTACAGAGACACGACTTTCCGACGCCAACTTGTCCTTTGTCTTTTTCTGTACCAGACAAGCCAACGACGGCAACATTGATGCTTTTAACGTTATCGTTCTTACGAGCCATCTTTCCAACAATGTACGATTCAGTATACAAAGACGATCGATGAGAAAATATATTGAATTCTCTTCAGAAGGGCCTTGTTGTCGACATCCTTGATACTTGTGCTCATAGATTCAAAACAATGTTTTTCATATAATTTTATCAAAACCACTGTTTTTGATTTTCACCGTTACTTCTTTATTTAAAATCCCATATAAAAATCACTGCCTCTTCCCTTTGGTAACATCACTTTCCTCGTCATTGGTTTCCTCAATTTCACTTTATATCACCATGCTGGATACTCGAACGATGTCATAATTTCGTGTCTGTCCATGAATTGTTGCACATATACTCTTTGAAAATCGACGTATAAAGCGCGTTCTTTGGAATGTCATTTGTGTCACTTTTGCTCTAAGAATGTTTAGATCAAAGATCATTAATCGAAGCATCACATCTTGTCACGTGTTAGCAGTGATAACTTGGAATCATCAAGTATTACCTTTATTGTTAATCGTTACGTTCAAAACTTTTAGCACAACTATGAGCAATGGTTATCTGGAATGGCACTGTTTATCTGAAAATAACAGAAATTTAAACAAAATTGAAACCAAAAAAATTCTTTTATTCGATTATTCTCCTAACGACGCTCTAATAACCTTCCGAATTCTATCAAATCCTCCTGACAAGGAACAACCTATCTAATCGGTCAACGCAACGCCATTATAAACTAAATTTTATCTTTCGAGTTCGAACGGGAAGTCAGCCATTGGAAGTCGAGGTACGTCATAAAAGAACATATTAAAAAAATATTCCAAAACTGACAACATTTCCTAACAGACGGAACAAGCATTCCAATGAAGCTCTTTTTACCCAACCTACGCTTGAATCCAATCGGTCTTCCAAATGAAAGAGGTTATCCCCTTGGCTCCTAACAAATTTTTGGGCTCATCGGAGCAACGTCATAGTATCTAGCAAGACCTATCGACATTTCTCGTAGAAAATCCATAGATTTCTAAAACATTAAAATTGGAGCTCTAATACTGCCCACGGATAAACGACACGACCCAACCAAGCGACGTCGGACTGTCGTGTATTTTAATCACCATCCTAGATCGCCCACGCCGGTTCCGCGTCGCTTCCATGCCGATGTGCCCGGCACCCATCGCACGTTCCTCGGACCCAAGGGTGAATCACGCTCTTGAAAAAGTAGTCACGAGACATCCGAGTGACAGCTACGAGTAGATCAATATGCATCGTGGGAATTCACGGAGCCAATTCGGAGCGACGAAGCCCGGAACGGTTGCGGGTCCGGGAATGCCTCGAAAAAGGAAAACCTGGACAAAACGTATCGAGAAGCACCTCAAACGAAAGGACGTGTCCTGGGGTGGAGGGCTGACATCTCCGAGGCGATGATATCCATCGGACACGGCGACCGGCCGTGCGACGAGACTCTCGCGTAGCCTCGACTCGGCTTTGGCGGAACGAAACGAAATCGGACGAGCTTTCGAACTTAAGAGGTAATCCCCGAGGGGCCTCCTCACCTCCTCGTGGCCGCTCTTCGACGCGGCCTCTCAAGATTCCTCGCGGAGCCCCCAAGGGTTGCGGGCATGTAAATAACTGGACGTCAAATGTCGAGTACTGGCCCGTAAGGGAGCCATCTTGGTGGGTGGGCACACGGCAATTGATGTTTTTCGGATGGCTACTACCACGTCGATTCCTGCCGTGACGCGAAGCTGACCGGAGAGAGGTCCACGGAGGCCTGTTCGGTCATGTCCGAACCTGTCCAGAGTCCACGGGTCCTGCCACCTCCGGATTCAAAGGTGCCGCCGAAATGCTCAAAAATAATCTTACTAGTCACAAGATTTAACCGTTTCAATTTTACTTTATTAGATGGAACTTTGATATTTTTTTTCTATTCTGAAATACGGGAAACGCCTTGTCGCTAGGCTTTATTGAATTATTCTCGAGGATATGAAATTTTCCTCTACTTTGATGTATGGAACAAGGAGCGTTGAATGGTGTGAAAAATGTCAATTGTAGGAATTTCAGGTTCCGAGTGCTCGAGTACTTTCATTCATAATCTGTAAAGTGCCATCTTTAGACCATGTGCAGAAATAATATCAAGAGAGATAGTAGATGTCGGTACGTTACCGATTTCATCGCTCGGAGTTGCCATCTACCGGTGACTGGTATTATCTCCCTGCACGACATATTAAAACTAATTCTATTTAAATCGTTAGCATTTGGTAGCATTTCCAATTTGTATTTGATAGCTTGCTCTCAAGAAATTGCTGCGTCGAGAACGACGGAAAGTAAAAATATCGTGATTATTTTTTAATGCTTTTGCAAAAATGCCCATACATGGATACGTTTCGATGAACAGGATTGCAAAAACGAGGCCGAACGTCCCGTGGGTACGTAACGACAGTGCACCCGCTGTTACATTTAATTGAAATAAAAAAAAAATAGTTCATGAATTCGATAGAAATTCATCCCGTAGAATTGCCGCCTAGAATGGGCAAGGTCCTTGGAGTGGGGATACGAGGTGCACGCGCAGTCCAAAGCGAGGAGTAGCGCGTCCATTCGTCTCATTCGCTCCACTCGTCCACTTGTTGCTCCGTCGCCGGGTTCTCTGGAGTGCTCCGGTCCGCCTTTCTCGGTTTTATTCCTCTCGATCCATTCGTGCGAGTCCCGGTCTCTACGTCCGTGCCTACGTTCATTTATCGACCGCCCATCGAACACCTCAGAATGACGAACTATCATAAGCCGGAGTCGAAAACCATTCAGGAACTGAAGGACATTGCGAACAAGTTGAGGATACACTCGATACAAGCGACGCAGGCCAGCAAGTCTGGGTGAGTGTCGGCTACTGCGAAGTACCGCGCGACCCATTGGTCCTTTCCGATGGAGCGGCCGTTCCGATTGGCCGACGCGCGAAGTTCGACCGTGGCGTGCCAGCGGATGCCGGCCGCCATCTTGTGATAACGCACGCGCGATTTCCTCCGCGTGCTCTTAGAAGACTTAGACTGGTAATCGCGGTGTTTAAACTTTGATAGAGATGGATAATCCAAGTAGGTCGTTTCCATCCGTCTTCGATCAGGATTATACTACATGAGGAGGTTAAAATGTAAACATAGCGACCGTTCGATGTCCATCCTTGTACTTTCCCGCCGTGCCAACTACACCGATCGTTACAAGCCGACTGCCAACTACTGGAAAAAGAATTTATTCGGTTCAGTTGAGCCAACAGAGAATTGAACCTTGATTCCGTGGTCGGCGGGATTTTTTTTTAAAGGCTTATTTCATTTTATGATGTCTGTACGTCGTCGCAGGCGATGACGGACAGTTCTTATGCAATGACGCGCGTGGTGGACAATCTAGGATAAATCAATAGCTGGAGCATGGAAAAATGAATATTAATACTCGATACGCGAACGTATCGAATCTGTTCTAAAATGGTAGCTCTATTTTTATTCTTTCGGGGAGTTTATGGGAGAGAGTTGGAGATCCGAGATTGCTAAGTTGTAAGCGGAACTGGCCATTATGAGGAAGACCGGCTAGAATATCTTTTGTACGACCTGAAACTCTAAACTCGTAGTCTCCAGTAAAATAAACGAAGGCTATGGGCTTGCAGTTTCATCATATTCCTCATATTCCTGACGATATTCAAAAACCATTTTCGAATTATTTAAACATGCGATTCTCCATCGAATAATAATTTTTAAATATGCCACCCCTGCTCGATTGGGATTTAATGATATTTTCCTCGGTACGGAATGAGTTTATATAGAAATATCGAATCTATGGATGTCGATTGATTTCCCCAAGGCATTTCTGGTATTTCTTCGGTACCACGTGATATCGAGTCGCTGAAAACAGTACTTTTTCGAAGTAATGCTATAACCTTGATAGAGAGCAGGTACGATTTACTAATGGCAAGTAAGATTTATTTGAGAGAAGAAAATCATTTTAGATTACGGGATACATTTTTAGAACACGATAATATTTATTTACGTCGAAATTCTCTATTTGTGGTTAACTCGAGTGACTCTCGCAGTCTGTAGAATCTAAAGAAATAACTCCTTTCTTCACCTTCCCCTTCTCTGATAACCGCGAATCTGGTAACACGTGGTGTGATAGGAGACGCACACGCGTTAACATTGCGTAACCAGCCCGGTGGCATGAAACATGTCGCGTGAACTCTGCACTTACGACACAATAATTTTCCACTTTCGCTTCCCAAGTAAACGTTCACTGAACAATTTCAGTTGCGATGAAATTTTGACAAAGGCCGCGATAAAGAAGAAATTAATTTACAATAAATTCAAATAAGTTTGAAAATCATTTTCTTGGTATATTTTTGATGTAGGTAGCCGGTCACGACACTGTCTTTTATCGGTTTAATGAATACAATAAGATAATTTTTTTTAGTCCGAGTCGGCGAGAAAGAGTACCGACTCCGAAACCGTCCGGGATGAATGGGCTAAAGTATGTAGAAAATATTCTGGATTAATTTCATTATCAACGGAATGATTCCGTCGAGAAGAGCGAGTTAACCAACGAGGAAGACGGAGTCGCTTTTGCCGATCCCCTCTATGGTTGGCTCGATCTATCGCGTTCTATGAGCTCCTATCAGTTTCAACTGAACGCGCTGCCGGAGAGGTACTATCCCGTCGCTCTTTTTTTTTTCCATACGAAGAATTGTCGAAATGGTTCGCGAAGTGGATGCCCAACAATTAAAAGACCAGGCTAATCGGTTGCGCATACTTTGTATCCAGGCAACCGAGGCTTCAAAGAGCGGGTAAAATTATAAAGCAAAATTATTTTTTCTCTCTGTTTATCTATGAAAATAATTTTTTTCATTGTCACATTTTCTTATTTAAATACTGAGCAAAACTCGGATCTCAGGCGTATGTAACAGTAGGCGGTAATTAATCATGAGTACTGGGATGGATACAAAAAATTCTTACAGAAAATCTGGGTTAACAGGTGATCCGGTACTTTCATGCTGTAAAAACTGTCTTGGAAAATTTATGTCAAGGTCCAAACAAATATGGATTGCCGTACTAGGAACCGTGCACTGTTCTACAACAAATTAGTATCTTTTATGGGAATTTTGTATTACCTGCTCCCTTTTTTTTTTCCAGACATCCAACATCATGCTCGTCCATGGCCGAGGTCATGTCAGTTCTCTTCTTTCACACAATGCGTTATAAGGTTTCGACGCCCCGTGATGCCAGTAGTGACAGATTCGTTCTCAGCAAGGGTCATGCAGCGCCAATTCTTTACGCCGGTAATTTTATTAGCCCCCCCGAGTTTGTCTGAATTTTTTAATGACTCCATAATTCTTAGTTTTGAAAACAAGTTAATGCTGCAATTTATTTACCAATTATACATTTTGCTGATTTATAATTCGACATTTTTAACGATGCTTATAGCATGGGCGGAAGCTGGTTTATTCCCAACAAACGAGTTACTGAACTTGCGGAAATTTGGGAACGATCTGGAAGGACATCCCACGCCAAGACTGAACTTCGTCGACGTAGGAACGGGATCGTTGGGTCAGGGCCTCTCTAATGCTGCCGGCATGGCATACGTCGGAAAGTACTACGACAAGGCCAGCTACAGGTGAATGGAAAAGCGACCCGATAATGCCAATGGTCAGGTCCGGTCCCTGATTGTAGTTCGATAACGTTACAGATACCGTTTCTTTCTTTTAGAGTATACTGTCTGATTGGTGATGGCGAATCGGCCGAGGGCTCAATTTGGGAAGCACTTCACTTCTCCTCCATCTACAAGTTGGACAACTTGTGCGTTGTTTTTGATATCAATCGACTGGGTCAAAGCGAACCCACTTCTCTTCAACATAATATGGATATTTATCGTAAACGAGTAGAAGCATTCGGCTTAAATTCCATAGTAGTCGATGGCCACAGCGTCGAGGAGTTAGTTAAGGTAAATTGACGTCGTGTAGGGACGATGAATAATTTCAAGACTTCGATTGATTATGGCAGCTAAATATAATTTTTTTTTTTCGTAGGCCTTCCACGAAGCACAGCACACTAAAGGAAGACCGACAGCCATTTTGGCAAAGACCTATAAAGGAAAGAGTTTCCCAGATATTGAGAACCTGGAAAATTGGCATGGAAAGGCTTTGGGTAGCAAAGCTGACGAAGTAGTACAAGTATGTTTTTTATGGTTGCGATATTTATATCAATAATACCAGATCGGTAGGTGGATCTTAAACAAATAGAGACGTTATTAATTATATGTACGTTTTAGCATTTGACGGCCATGCTGAAGAACCCTGGCCCTCTTGCTTTGCGTCCTCAGAAGCCTCTAGTCGACGATGCGCCAATAGTGGACATCACTCATGTTAAATTGGACACTCCACCGGCCTACAAAATCGGCGAACAAGTTGCAACGCGTGCAGCCTATGGAACCGCACTCGTAAAAGTAAAATCACGGATCAAAAATTATTTATCATCGATTAACTAAACATTTTAGGGGAAACGTTACTTAAAAAATAAATTATTAATGTTTTAGATAGCACGGAATAATTCGCGCGTGATTGCGTTGGACGGCGATACAAAGAATTCAACCTTCTCGGAGAAGATGAAGACAGTTGATCCAAGCAGATTCATTGAGTGTTTCATTGCCGAACAGAATTTAGTCGGTGTTGCAATTGGCGCCGCTTGTCGTGACCGCACAATCCCCTTCGTTTCTGCATTTGCCACATTTTTCACACGTGCATTTGACCAAGTAACTATTTCCTGTCATTAATATTTCCAGTTCAGTATCTGAATATTAGCATGCACTTTAATAAAATTTTAATTATTTTAGATTCGAATGGGGGCAATTTCGCAAACAAACATAAATTTCGTTGGGTCCCATTGCGGTGTATCCATCGGTGAAGATGGACCATCTCAAATGGGTCTGGAAGATATCGCGATGTTCCGGTGCGTTCCTGGGTCTACAGTGTTCTACCCAAGTGATGCCGTATCAACGGAACGGGCTGTAGAACTTGCTGCAAATACCAAGGGCATCTGTTTCATCCGTACCTCGCGTCCTAACAGTCCAGTTATTTATAAAAACGATGAAACGTTTATCATAGGCAAGGCCAAGATAGTTCGATCCTCACCAAAGGATCAAGTTCTCGTTATTGGGGCTTGCGTTACTCTTCACGAAGCGGTGAAGGCTGCCGATGAACTGGCCAAGACTGGAATTCACGTGAGGATTTTAGATCCCTTTACGATCAAACCCATCGATAGCGCAACGATCATTAAAAACGCCAAAGAAGCTGGCGGTAAAATAGTAACCGTTGAAGATCATTATCCCGAAGGTGGTATCGGCGAAGCAGTGGCCTCGGCTGTTTCTGGAGAAAGAGATATCGTTGTTAAAAAATTGGCAGTCAAGGAAGTCCCTCGTTCCGGACCTCCTGCGACGTTGCTCGATGCCTTTGGTATAAACGCGAAACATATCGTTATGGCTGTGCAAGAAATCTTAAAAGTTTAGAAAAAAATCATTGGCTCATCCACACACAAAATCGCAGGCGTGTGTATGGGCAGAGCACACTCTATTTCATCATGGATAAAATAAGTGCTGCCGATCGTAAAGCCGCTGTATAATTTTCTCACGCGAGTTAATCAGGAAATATTTACTGCCTTATTTTTACTTTTCACAGGTACTTGTTGAATTCTATGAATATTTTCATAGTTGGCGTAGACAATGCACTGTTATTTCATTCCTACAAATGAACTACACGAATGTTATACATTTACTATCGTTACCTCCGGTACGGAGATGTTTCCAATTTTTTGATAACGCAATTGAGAACTATTTTCCGTTTATCCGTGGTCACTTAGTGAATTTTTGTTCTTATCTTTACAATTACTTTTACACGAGGTGTCGAATAATGGGAACTCCATTCTGTGATATATAAAATCCGCTTGCCTGCAGTGTTATCATACACACCGCGGACAATACAGAAAGCTATCATGGGCTCAATTTCCAACACTTTTGCACTTAACAAATAGTGAATGGAATGTTTATATCAGCAAATATATAGAATTTGCTACACTTCTCAGATTCTCTTACGGCGTTTCTTATTGTGCGGAAATCTTTGTTAAAACATTTATCTTCCCGCTCCTTTACCATTCAACGTTTTCACTAGCTCACACGGTATTCGACATTCTTACCGACTGCCTGCCCCCGCCAGGAACAAGTTGCCCGGTTACTCGTAGATGGAATCAAAACGGCAAAATCGAGAAGTGCTCAAATCGTCTTCTCGATTGACAAAGAATTAGCCGAAAAAATGTCATCGTGGTTAAATTCAGTGTCTCGAATCCACTCGAAATATTTTGAAAATTATAACGACATGGGAAGCGGGAACTCATGATAATAACGATACGCTTTGCACGAACCGTATCGAGGGACCTTTACATCGATCATTGGATATTTTTGAATTAATGCGTGGTCTAATCGTCATTCGCCCTAAAAAAAAACCATCCACTGGTTCCATCGATTTAAAATTGCGCGCTGGAAATTTGGCATCCCGAGGCAGTGGCGCCACCTCTCGAGCCTCGAGGACGCCCGTTCCGTCCACGCGACGCGAGCGCGACGTTCCGTGTCCGGCGTTCCGCGCGTCGACGATTTAGCTCGCCTGGGTCGTCAGTCGGGCGCGATCGGCCAAGTCCGTGACTCGTCGTAGGTAGGTCCGCGCAGACGCTCCGTGGACCGAGCGCGCCGCGTCCCGCGCCCCCCTCCCCCGTGGCCGCGGTGTCAGGAACGTGTGCGTGCGCCCGCAAAGATGGCCGCCTCGCAAGCGTACGGTGGTGTTGACGTCGTTCCAGTCGAACCCGCTGAGGTAGCATCGGCGTGAGGAGGCGCGATTTCGGGGCGCCGAGAGGATCGGGCACCCGGGCGCCGGTCTCGCCGTCGCTCGCGTTCGCGACTCGGAGGTTAGTGCGCGACGTGGCTCGTTCTACGTGAACGGTGGTGCGCGCGGCAAGCGCGACGAGGCCTGGCCGAGCGAGCTGCTCAGGGAAGGTGCGTTCGGTCGGCAGCCGTCGGCTCGAGCCCCTGGCCCGCTCGAGCGCTCTCGAGCTCCGAGCCCGGGCTCCCCGGAGGACCCCGGGAGGTCACGACGGCCGCCGCCGCGTGCCCGTGCCCCCTGTGTGCCCGAGAGAGAGCCGAGCCCTCGGTCGACGGCCATATTAAATCCGGGGCACCTCGAAGCCGTCCTCCGTGCCGTCGCGAGGCGCGCGGATCCTGCCCGCTCTCCCGCGACCGGGCCGTTACGTCCGCGAGCTGCTCGCGGATGACGCGCCTCCGGGTGGCCTGCCGTCCCGAGCACCCGAAGCGGCCGCCGCCACCGGGACCTGCTTGAGCCGAGCGCTGCCCTCGTGTCCCCCATGCTTCGGCCCGGACGACAGCCCCGACGACAGCCCCGACGCCCGCAGGATTGCCCGACTGTCGGCTTCGACGTGAGTACGCTTTTTGCCTCTCCGTCTATCCGCTCCACCGTGGAAAGCCACCTTCTCGCCTGTTCGCGTTGTCCTGACATTGTCCTTCTCTTCTCCAGATCCTGCTAGTCAAGGCTTTAACCATATAAATAGCAGTACGTTACCTGTTACTTTGAAGAATGGATTTTAATGTTTACAAGAGTACGTTCTGAGTTTCAAGCAGGCCCCGGAGTAGTGGATCGAGATCGATGGCGGTTTTGTTTTTAGAGTGGAACCAAGGTAGAGGGTCGACGGATCTTTTGAGTTACAATTCGTCCTCTTCTCGATAGCGCTGCTTATGTTTTCTAATGCTATCGTTTGATTTAAACAAAGAAGGTAGTATATCGTATCCATTATCCGTTACTTCCGTGAGTGGATGGCAATGTTAACGATAGATATTTTCCATTCCTGAAATAACTCGTACGTCATGGCAGCATCGAAGGGAACGACCTGAAGGGGCACGAGAGATATAAAATTATTCCATGAGCGAAAGAATATTTATTCGAGACTACAAAAACTGTAACTCGAAAGATCTTGAACGAGTCGCCTCGGTATACTTAGATAATGATTTTAAAGAATTCTAGAACGATGAAAAAGTATCGTTGTAATATCGAGCTACGATAGAAAAAATGACATTTGACACAAATTCTAGGTTAAGCGTCCCGTTTCTTTTATGAACGGAAGGTGAACGATGTATCTCCTGGAATTAATTTTTTATTAGAATTGCTAATAATATTTATTAATTCCATTTATTTCCTTTGTCAATTTCCGTATACTCTTGCCAATTTTAGTAAAGAACTGACCGTAGCTTTCCTCAGAATATTCCCTGTTGAATTTATTTTGAAACTGTACGGTGCACATCGGTTAAAGATACAAGGTAATGGGGAAAGTCAATTTAAACGTAGCATTGCCCATAATTATCCCAATAACCGGCTGAGCGTGTCGAACAAAAAGCTTCGTTCAAAATGGGTCGTGATTCACATATAGGAGCCATTTGGAGCAGTAGCGCGCCTTCGCATTATACCTTAACGGGTTTGTTTAATTTAACCCCTAAAAAATCCCGGCTGAAAAGAAACCCCGTTATAACGTCCCATGGATCCTGCTATTGTGAACGAAAATTAATTGTTTATAACCAACGCGGCGTATAAATAATTCGGGTATATTAAGCTAAAGGGTCGATCGATAAACATTAAATTTGATCCTTCTAAAAATACGTACGGTGCGGTGGGAAAGGAATTATATTTTATAGAAGCGCAATTTTGGGAGTACGTTGCCGTTCCTGCGGGACCCACCGAGCCGAGTTTCTCGCAACCTTCCCCGCCTAACTCCTAATTTCCCGGCTACTATCAATTAATCATGTTTCTCTCATTCGCAATCCCTCGCTACGAAGGCGAACCTCCCCGACCCTCTTTTCCATCTTTCTCCTTTCATCCCTCTCGCAGCAACCCAGCCATACAGAAGTTTACGAGGTGACTCGTGAATTTCTTAGGGCGCGTTTTCACTAACCCACGCGAGGCCGCGCACCCCCCTCGGCTTACGAATTTCCGAAAAGGAAAAATTCCCCCCGAAAGAAAACTATCCCTTCCCAAGAAGGGGACGTGGGACGACTTCTGCTTCTTTCGAGTCCGGCATATATTTCCTGCGGAAACGTCTAAATGGGAAAATACGACTATGGAAAAAATTCCTGCCCGCGACGACGCGGATTTATTAATCGAAAAAGCTCGTAATTGTCCTTTTTATCCGCGCGTACGCTTAAACAGGCCAAAGGGCGAATTGAATAAACATTCCGACGGACGTGCCAGAACGCGGTTCAATAAAATCCCGCCCGGTTGGATCCTTCCTTCCTTCCTTTTTTTTTTTTTCATTTCTCTCTTTCTCAAAACGCGGAATTCGGGGGAACGGTGAAATCCAACCACGCGGAAGTTTACGAGGTGACTCGTAAATTTCTTACGGCGCCTATTCGGTAAGATACGCATCCCCGTAACCTGGCGCAAGGCTCTCCGCCGCTGGGAAAACTTTTCCCGTGGACCGGCGAATTTGAGAAAGGAAAAGGGAGATACATCGTGCGCGCTATCGTAGCGGCGAGAGGGACGTTATCGAGCTCCAGGGGTGGGACCTCTTCGTTTAAGTCTTTATTAGCCGGTAACACTGTCCCGGTATACCGTGGAGCGGTAAGAACTCCGACGAATTTTCCCGACGATGGAGTGAAAATAATTCCCGCGTGCGCCTTAAGTATAGGAACACCGCCATTACCGCCGTCCGACACCCTGTGGCGATATCCCGGAAACGTCGAAATCCTTGCCAGTGTTTCCCCTCCCCCGACCCAGGAAAACAACGCTGCGTGGTTAGCGTATTTTTATTTCCTTACATTTATTTATTTTATTTTAATTCCCAAGTCCAGTCGGAATGCGCCGCACGTCGCCCCACTCGGGTCCCTCGGGGCGGGATCGTCGCCTCCTCCGAGGCTGGTTAAACCGTCCTTAGCATTTCGGAGAAATGCATTTCGTCGCCGTCCACTCCATCGTCCGGTCGGTCCCGCTCCTCGGGGTGAACACCTTCCTCGGACGGCGTCTCATCCCCGGGAGCGGCTCCGTCTTATCCGGTATTAATATTCACGGAGGAGGCCGGCCGGCCTCTCTCTCGGGGCCCTCGGCCGCGTACTTGGGATTCCCGTCCCGTTTCCCCCGGCGTCGCCCTACGTGCGCGGGCGAGTCTAGGTTTTGCGTGCGCACGGGCGAATTCGATTCCGCGTGCCCGCCGGCGAGCTTGATATCCTGCGTGGGAGTACGCTCGCGCGTGCGATTACGCACGCATGCACGCAGCCGGCCTGTGCCAGGCCGAGCCACCGGCGGACTGCCGACGTCCCGGCGAGTCCTCCCCCTCCGTTTGTCTAGCTCCCACGGCACTCTCTCTCTCTCTCTCTTCCCTCCCCCTCTCCACCCCCGCCCGCCTACGGGGTGGCCCGCGACTCGGCTTGCCGCTTTAAAGTTTGATCATTCTCTTTGGCCTTGATCTTTTTCTGATTTTTCTTTCGAATCGTCCCGGGTATGCTTCCTGGAGATTCCGTATTCGGGAAAATGTACATATTGGGGTGTAGTTTAATGCATGGGGACGTGACCGGGGTTTTCTCGTTTTTTCAAATTTTCCCGTATGGCTGCCCCGGGTGGATACGTGGACCGGATTAATTTCCTTGCTTCCCTTAACTCGATGGAGATCGGTGCCGAGAGTGTCGTTTCATTTTGGAGAGGGAGGCCGACTTGTCGGCCACCCGGTGGATCCGGAACTCCGTATCTGCCGGTGGGATCGTTTCCGCCGAAAGAAACGGAAGAAAGTACCCCCCTCGCTTCCGATGCCGCGAGCGGGATGGGAAACTCGGTTAAACAACGGCTCGGAAGTTGACGCCCTATCGGGTGATACGGGAAGAGAGAGAGTGAGAGAGAACCGGGGTCCTTGGATTTCGCTCGAAAGATTTATCCTGGGAAAATCTGCCGTGAAAATTGCACCGGCGAGGTGGAAGTTCGGCCGAGGGCAAGTTACCGTCCTCGGGGTGGAATAACGTTAAAAGTTGAACGCGGGAGTTAGGGATGACTTTTGGATGACTCCTAGGATCGCGCGGGGCGGTATGGATTTTATTATTTTATTATTAAACGCGTATTAAGGGCGAAACTACGCGGAGTTTCTTGATCCCGCGGCTCGCGGCACGCCGTGGACGGTTATCACTTTATCACTTTGGACCGAACTCGAGAGATATTAAAAAAGCAGAGGATGAGAGTAACTAGCCGACGCGGGTCCTTGGGACGGGAAAGTGGAGGGAATCTTCGGGTCGCCGGGGGCAACGGGAAAGAAAACGTAACGTCGCGGTCCCGGGGAAAAAAAATGCCGAGGCCGTCCTTCCTCGTCGGCGAGATGATTCCCCCGGAAAAACGGAACATCCCCTGGTCCGAGGTCGGGATGTGGTACTTTTCAAATTGCTCCGTCAATGGAAAGTGGGTTAGGGAGAAACAACGTTCCGTCGTGACGTCGAACCGGATTAGCGGATAAGAAATTAAATCTCAGGGCTGGAGGAATCTAAACGGGGAAAAGCCTTTGGGGGGCGTAATCGTAATGGCTCCCTCGGCAGCCCGAAATGGGTCAGCAAAGATTCGTTTGGTCCCGCGGTAAAATGAAGTTTCTCTTTCGTTCGGAGCGCGGAAAAGCTCGCGGCCGAGATAAAACGGCCCGGTCGCGGTCCCTCTTGCTTTTCCGATACGAAGCATGACTAAAAGATGAGCTTATATTTCCGGGAGAGCCGGGACATTCGGCCAAGTCTATCTCCTAGAATTGGGTCCGTGGGACTCGCCTCGAAGACGGCGATTTATAATTAGTCCCCTTTTCTCCGTTCCCGCCGATCGCTGTCGGTTTACCGCGTAATTCGGCGGACGGCGTCCTCGTTACGGTGATGGCCTTTCTTGGAGTATCGAAAATAAAAATGAGAAAAAAATATATATATATACGTACTGGCGGAAGTAATCCCGTGTATTCGACGGAAAGTAATGCGCCATAAAAATCGTCCGTATCAGCTTTTTCGTGTCGTTACGACGGCAAAGGTGATCTGCTTGCCGTAAAACTTGGAAGCTTCCTCGAATTACTCGCGGGCCTCGTCCTCGAGGAAGAGGCGACGCTCTCCGGGGAGATCATTACTCCTTGATACGAGCTTGGCAAAAATCCAGATTTACGGGGAACCGGAGAAAGGATTAAAATTCGTCCGACTCGAGGTGGGACCGTGGAAATTCTCTCATCTCGATCTATCGATCGTGGGAGTTCGCGCTCCGCGGCAAGAGTCGTCCTAGAACTCGGAGCGCGTCTCCGTCGATCTTAAGATCGAACCTGGCGAATCGTCAAAGAAACGTCTTTCGTTGTATCGAGACAGGGGGCCGAACTTGTCCTCACTTCCGGCACTCTCGATCGATCTTCCCAGAAAACGGCTCAAAAGAGTAGTCGGT